AGGGGGTGAAGGGCACACAGGTAATGGGGAAAAAATAAGAACCAAGATACATCATGTACAGGTACAAGCTCCCAATGATAAATGTAAACGTATTGTATACCTAAAATGTACCAATAAAAAAATTTAAGGGAAAAAAAAAGAAAACTACTTTTAGGAGTCTTTACTGACAGGTTTCCCATACACAAAAGCATTTACCACATCAGTAGCTGCATATTGGGTGCAAGGAATGTGTTTATTTGCTCAAGTACTGAAACTACAACTGGAAGAAGAACAGCTACAATTTGAATTACCACCTGGTTAAGTTTATGATTATCCACTGTCATTCTCCAATATCCATTTGCTTTCTGCATAGGCCAGATAAGTAAGTTGAATGGGGATGTGATGGGAATCACCACCCCTGAATGCTTCAAGTCCCTGATGGTAGTGCTAATCTCTGCAATACAGTGGACCCTAGAGTAAGAACCGGCCTGACATACGAACAACTTGGGTTAATTAGGTTAATGGAAGATTCATCTGCCTCTTGTTATCTATAGTGTGTACCCAGATAAACATCCAGATCTCAGCTGTATTGACTTACAACTAATTTGAATTACAACCAGCCCTCAGGAACTGATCAAGTTCATAAGTCAAGGGTCCACTGTACTCCCAGGAATGCGACATTATTTGTGATTTCCTATTTTCCTAGGTATATGTAGTCCTAGAGGTATTCATTTGGTCTTTCCCACTATTCTACCCCTTACCCCACAGCTCAGGGAACCAATGTAACAATTCTTCCATTGTTATATATGTGTGTTCCAGTTGTCATTCTTTAACTGTGGAAATGCCACAGGGTGGGTTCAGGGACCCAGCAGACCCACTGTGAGAGATTTGAACTAAGACTTCATTAATAACTGCACTTCTACTTTAGCCCATACTCTGACTTGTGGACCACAGTGCTGTTTTTGATCTCCTGGAATTGGTGTCAGCTCAGAGCAAATGTCCAGTAATCCTCAAAATGTCTTATTATTTCCTTTTCTTCAATGCATATGTACTGATAAAAGGCTATAGGTCTCTTTGGGGAAGACTTCAAGAACGATTAATCATATAAGATTTTTGTAGTATGCAATGGTCCATCCTCAACGAGGCTTGGCCTCCCTTTCATTCAAGGCTTCTGGGTCTATACACAGGCTCAAGACTGAGAATTGATTGAGGAGCCATGACTCTCTTTATGATTCAAGTTAGACTTTTGTTTACTTGGCCTTGAACTCTTTTGCTTATACAAATCAACTAAGATTTAATAGACTGCCCATCTTATTCTTTTCTAGGGACATCGTGATCAATTAGGTAATGCCATAGGTCTGTGTGAGTCAGACTATTCTAATTATCGCTTTGACTCTACTATCCACCGTGGTAACCAGGTTTGCCTTTGCCTTGCCTTTGGCAATTAAAGTGTCTCCACTTGACCACTACCACACTGGCATCCATTGCATTTAGGTTTCCCTATTTAGTAGCAGCAGTTTCCACTGTGATTTAACAGAGCTCTTCAAGGATGCTGGGGTTTCTCTTAACAAATTTGTAAATATCTCACAGTTGTGGTGACAAATATGCCTTTAAATCTAGTCAAATTGGAGAGCTAATTCCAGAAATCCCAGAACTAATTCATAAAACCCATCGTGAAGATTCTGTTCCTCTAAAAATACTCTGAGTACCTGCTACGGCTTGTATCTAGATGTCTCCCCAAAGCCTCAAGCGGTCATAGGTGGGGCTTCTCAGAGGTGGCTGGATCTGGGGTGTGTGATGCTGAGATCAAGGATGTGATGCTGGGATTGATTCATGGTGCTATGCTAGAATTAAGGCTGCCCCACCCTGAGTGTGAGTGCTGCCTGCCCTAAGGGCGGGTGGTCTGGATAAGATATGAGGGACAGAAAGAGGGCTGTTGCTTGTCACACTGCTTGCTGCCTTGCTGCCTTCTGCCTGCCATAAACTGTTTGTCCTCTGTGATGCCCCTCTGCCATGCCACTCTGCCTTGGAGCCAGCCAAATATGAACTGAAACTCCTTTAATTTGGGGTGTTGGGTATTTTGTCTCAGCAACGAGAAAAATAATTAAGACAGTACCAAAATGTGTATATGGTTTCTCCAGAGAAATGGAACCAATAGCTCTGTGGGGGAAGGGACTGGTAAGTCGAAAATTCATAAGACAGGCCTACAGGCTGGAGATTTAGGTAAGAATTGTTGTAGTAGACTTAATTCCAGCATCTATAGGGCAGGTCAGTAGATTGAAAATTGAAGCAAAGTTTCTGTGTTACAGTCTTAAGGGAGAATTTATTCTTCTGCTACCTTGTACATAATCCTTTTCCCTTAGCAAGCATCTCAGTGAGTCATGATTCTTTTCCTGGTGGGGTGACCCAAACCTTCATTCCCATGTTAGAGAAAACCAGAGCTGGAGAGTAGTTAAAGCTGTACAAACAGATCTTGTTCAGAACTGTTACAGTAGAAAGAGACCTCAGTACAGAACTGGGCTCGCTTCCAAATACAGTAGGAACAAGTGGGAATTTATAGCTGAGGAGCAGGGAGGGGACCAGTGAATGGAAAATTACTAACAGGCAACATCTAAGGTGAGAGGGGATTCTGCTAAAGCAACCTAACAGGATTTTCACCAAGGACAGGGCAGAATGATCAGATATCACCTGGGAGATTTGATTAGCTATCAAGGGTGATCAGATGTTAAGGTTGGGGGATTCTGGCTAAACTGACTTAACAGGACTTTTGCTAAAGTTGAGTGATGAAAAGATAGACATGGAAGTACAAAAGTCAAGGCTCAGGAAGGGAATTCAAAGGATTCTAACTAAAATTTGGTGAAGGAGAGATTTGTCACCTCAAGGGTCTGCACCATTAGTGGTCTTACTTCAATTGAGTTGTAATTTTCCATTGATTTTCATCACTGGGCATAAATTCACTAAGAGATCTCCTGTATTCCAGACATGCTCTTACTTACCTCCACTGTAGAGTGGCTGTCCAAATCTCCATGGTATTTGAGATCAGTCCACCCAGTCATAACCACAACACTTTCCTTTATCTATTGATTTCAGACTTGAGGAGCTCAAAGTGGCCAAGTGACAGTCTTTACTTCCTGTGCAGTAGAATTATTGTTGTATCTCTTGGTGGAAGCGTTACTTCCTTTGGGATTAAGACATACCGAACAGCAGAGCATAAACTCACAGGCACAGGAAGAAAAATATTTTGCTAGTTTATTATTAGGAGTAATAGTAAGGGATATGATTCCTGGCCCAGAGCTGAGGGGGCAGGGCTGCCACTCCAGTGGGCTCAAAGGATAGATCATGAAGCCAATGAGGATTATTTGTAAGCCTTACAACCTAATGGAATTTGCCCCACTGTTTTGGACTTACTTGAACCCATGATTCCTTTTTCCATCCCAGTTTTTTTTCCCATTTTGAAATGGAAATATATATCCTATATCCTATACCACTATTATTTTGGAAGTTGGCTTCATGGATTCACATATGGAGAGGAAATTTAGCCCTGGATGAATGATATCCCAAGTCTCACCCATAAGTGATTTGGATGGTTCAAATTATGAGATTTGAGATTTAGAATTAATGAGGTCAAGATGAGATTTTTTTACTTAACAGTTGATGCTGGAATAATTAAGACTTCTAAGGATGTGAGGATTGGGTGACTATTTTGCGCATGAAAAGGACATGAATTTTGGGGGGACTCTTCTGGATTAAATTGTCTCCCCTCAAAAGACTATGTGGAAATCCTAATTCCCAACACTTAGAATGTGACCTTGTTTGGAAATAGAGCCTTTACAAGGGCCAGGGATTTAGCTCAGTGGCACTGTGCCTGCCTCGCAAGTGCAAGGTCCTGAGTTCGATCCCCAGTACAAAAAAAAAAATATATATATATATATATATATATAGAGAGAGAGAGAGAGAGAGAGAGAGAGAGAGAGAGTCTTTACAGAGGTCAGAAAATCAAAACAGGGCCATTAGAGTGGGTCCTAATCTAATATGACTAGTGTCTTTATAAAAAGGGGAAATTTGGACAGAGACATGCAAACAGGGAGAAAGCCATGTGAAGATGAAGGCAGAATCCGGAGTGATACTTCTACAAGCATACATAGAGGGAAGAAAATGAGAGGACAAATGGGGAGAAGATAGCCACATCACTGGACTGATGTACGTACAAGCTAAGGAACACTAATGATTTCCAGAGACGCTAGAAGATGTGAGCAAGAGTTCTCTTCTAGATGCATCAGCAAAAGCATGACCCTAACTGGCACCTTGATTTCAGACTTCTAGCCTCTATAGATATGAGATAGAATTTTCTGTTATTTCAAAAACCCCGTTGTCACTACTTTTTTATAGCAGCCCTAGAAACCTGATGTGGAGTCTTAGTGAGGATATTGTCATTCTCAGCTGCTGAGACATTGGAAGTGTGTGATGGTGTCATCCTTGATGTATCTGAGATTCTTCAGTTCCTTTTTACCTCTGTGAATATTATTCTGTCCCCAATGAAATGTGGTTTTCTGAAGAACAAATGGAAAGCAATTATCTGGACCCAATTCTCTATCATGTTCTGTTAACAGGGTTTGAAGTTCCCAAGCCAGAGATCATCTTCAAGTTGGAACATGGAGAGGAACCCTGGATGTGGGAGGACACCCCACATCACGATTGTTCAGGTGAGTGTGAACCAAGCCAAAGAGAAATGCAGAAGTCATTTCTTCCCCAAGAGAGACCAATGTTTTTATTTTTTAAATTTTTATTTTCATTAGTATGTTTGTAGTACATAATGATTATATTCATTGTGGAGCGTTGGTACATGTACATAACATCATAATTTTTTATCTCCCCTTCCCTCCTTCCCCCTCCCTTGGCCAATGCTTTTAAAATGCTATTACTATTACTCTTTTTGAAGATTATAAATTTGGAAATTGCTTGGGGATAGATAGCTTTGCATTCTCAGTTACCAAATTGTTCTCTCCCTTTGTTTCCATTACTCTTATAAACTATCTTCTTTGCTAGGCTTTCCCGAATTGCCTCAATTCCTGTACTGCTATGAATCCTATGCTAGGCTTCCCCGCTATGGACATTGCTTTCTTGGATATTTCCTTCTATCACATTTTAATTTTATATTACTTAAGCCACACCTTCTATTTTTATTTTTTATTAGTACATATTTGCCGTATATAATGATCACATTCATCATAGGGAATTTGTACCTGTATATAATATAGCTTAATTCTTTTCCCATTCCCTTCCCCATCCTTCAATCTTGTTCACCTCCCAATTTACAAAAGATTTGTTTCCAGTTTTTTCCTTCCATTCTCTTTTATTTTAATGCCTTTTCCCTTCTTTCCCTTCCCCCTTCTTTCTACCCCCTACCTTTTTCCCCTTCCCATTTGAACGTGTTCTTCCTACTTCCCAATATCTGTCCTCCATTTTGCTCCTTGTTTACCATTTGGGTTTCTCACACAAGAGGAACAGTGCAATATTTAAATCAGGTCTTTATATATTCTGATTTAGTTCACTTAAAATTATGGTTTCAGTGTGCATCTATTTACTTAAAAATGACTCAAGTTTATCATTCTTTATGGCAGAGTAGTACTGCATTGTATATAAAAACTACATTTTATTTGTCCATTCATCTGTTGATGGGCATATGGGCTGTTTCCAAGATTTAACTATTATAAATTGTGTTGGTATAAACATGGATATGCACATATCACTGTGGAATGATGCTTTTAACTCGAGAAGATACGTAGAAGGGGAACAGATGGGTCAAATGGAACCTCTAGTTTTAGTTTTTTTGAGGAATCTGTGTACTGATTTCCATAGTGCTTGTGGCAGTTTACACTCCCACAAGCAATGAAGAAAGGGTTCTTTTTTTTTTTTTAGTACTGGGGATCAAACTCAGGACCTTGCACTTGCGAGGCAGGTGTTGGAACCACTAAGCTAAATCCCCAGCCCAGAAGAAGGGTTCTTTTACCCCCACAGCCTCGCCAGCATTTGTTATTGGTTGATTTCTTGATAATGGCCATTCTTTGTGGAATGAGACAGAATCTCAGTGTTGTTTAATTTTTTAATTTGCATTTCTCGAATGACCAGTGATGTTGAACATTTTTTCATATTTTAAGTTGCTGATTGTACGTCTTCATCTGAGGAGTGTCTGTTCACTTCAGATGCCCATTTTTTGGATTGGGTCTTTAAATTTGAGGGGTCTGATTTAAGTTTCTTTATTTTAGATATTAGACCTTCATCTGAGGAATAGCTGGTAAAAAATTTTTTCCATTCTGTGGGTTGTCTCTTCACTCTGTGATTTCTTTTGCTGTTCAAAAGCTTTTTAATTTGATGTAATCCCAGCTGTTGATTCTTTGTGTATTTTCTGTGGAATCAGGATTTCATTCATAAAGTCTTTGCCTACACCTATGTCTTCAAGAGTTTTACCCAATCTGTCTTCCAGTAGATTAACATTTTCTGTTTTCATGTTTAGATCTTTGATCCATTTTTATTTTAGTTTAGTTCATGGTACGAGATATGGGTCTAGGTTCAATCTTTGCAGTGTGGAAAGCCAGTTTCCCTAGCACCATTTATTAAAAGAAGCTATCTTTCTTCCAATGAAGGTGTTTGGCCCCTTTGTTGTGCTTGGGGTTGTTTCTGCATCTTCTATTCTGTGCTATTGACCCATGGGTCTGTATTTTTTTTCCAGTACCATACTGTTTTCATCACTGTAGCTTTTTAGTATAATTGCAATCAGGGATTGTGATGCCTCTGCTTTGCCCCACTTCACTGACCTGGGCTTTTCTTTGTTGGTAGGTTTTTAATTACATCTTCTATTTCATTGGCTGATATTTGGTTATTTCAAATTTTTATATCTTCTTGATTCAGCTTTTGTAATTCAGGTGTACCTCGGAATCTGTCCATTTCTTCTGTGTTTTCCATCATATTAGAATATAGATTCTCAAAATTAGTGTTGATAACCTTCTGGATTTCTGCATGATCTGTTGTGATTTCACCTTTTTCATTCTTAGTTGGACAGATCTGAGTCTTTTCTTGATAAAGTTGGCTAAGGGTTTGTCTATTTTATTACTCTGTCAAAGCACCAGCTCTTTGATTCATTGATTCTCTGTATAGTTTTCTTAGTATCAATTGCATTACTTTGTGCTCTGATGTTTATGACTTCCTTCCTTCTATGAACTTTGGGTTTAACTTGGTCTTCCTTCTCTTGAACCTTGAGGTTCATCACTAGGTTATTTATTTGAACTCACTCTATTTTTCTGATGTGGGAGTTCACTGCTATAAATTTCCCTTCAAGGACTATTTTCATTGTGTCCCATAAGTACTGTATGTTTTATTGTCATTATTGTTTAACTGTAGAAACTGTATAATTTTTTCTTTAATTTCATCTGTCACCCATTGGTGTTGAAGAAGGTATTATTTAATTACCATGTGTTTATGTAGATTTTGTGGTTTCTTTTGCCATTTATTTCCAATTTCATCGCACTATGCTGTGATAAAATGCATGGCGTAATTTCAGTTCCTTGCATTTACTTAAGCATGTTCAATGAGTTAGTATGTAGTCTGTTCTGGCAAAAGTCCCATGCACTGCTGAGAAATGTGTATTCTGTTGTTATTGGGTGGAACACAGTAGATATCTACTAAGTCCATTTGTTCAAAGGTGTGATTCAGCTCTGCTATTTCTTTGTTGACTTTTTTGTCTAGTTGGTCTATTTGTGACCGTGGGATATTGAGGTCCCCCTTTACAAATATATTAGTGCCTATCTCATTTTTTTTAGTGTAGCATTTATTTTTTTAAATTAATTTTATTGGCACAATTTAAATATACATTACGATCACATTCATCAAAGAGAATTTGGGGCCAGGGATTTAGCTCAGTGATTCTGCCGCCTGCCTTGCAAGCACAAGGTCCCGCGTTCAATCCCCAGTACCAAAAAAAAAAAAGATAGAGAGAAAGAGAGAATTTGTACCTATATATGGTATATCTTGATTTCTCTTTTCTACCAATTCCCCCTCCCTGTAAGCCCTTCTCTGTATTTACAAAAAGCTTTGTTTCCATTTTTTCTTTCTTTTCTCATTTTTTTCTTTTTCCTTCCTTCTTTCCCCCTCCCCACTTCCTTATTTCCCTTTGCTTTTGAACAGTTTCTTCCTATTTCACATTATCTATTATACATTTTGGTCCTAATTTACCCTTTCAGTTTGTCATACCAGAGAGACAATGTGATATTTACACATGTGTGTCCAATTTATTTCACTTAAGGAGTACAGTGTCAAAGTGCATCCATTGAGCTATAAATGTATCAAGTTTATCTTTATGGCTGAGTAATACTCCATTGTATAAAAAAAAGTGCATCTTTTTTATTTATCAGCTGATGAGCATTTGGGTTGTTTCCAAGATTTAGCTATTACAAACTGTGTTGCTATAAACATGGGTGCGCATATATCATTGTGGTATGATGCTTTTAATTCTTTTGGTAAGATACCCAGAAGGGAAATAGCTGGTTCAAATGGAACCTCTAATTGTAATTTTTTGAGGACTCTCCACACTGATTTCCACAGTGGTTTCACTAGTCTGCAATCCCATCAACAGTGGAGAAGGGTTCTTTTTCCCCACAGCCCCACCAGCGTTTGTTGTTGGTTGATTTCTTGATATTAGCCATTTTTTCTAGCATGAGATGGGATCTCAGCATTTTTTTTTTGGTACCAGGCATCAAACTCAGGACCTTGAGCTTGTGAGACAGACATGGTGCCACTGAGCTAAATCCCAAGACCTTCAGCATTGTTTTAATTTACCTGTCTTGAATAACCAGTGATGCTGAATATTTTTTCATATATTTATCAGCCATTTGTACTTCATCTGACAAATGTCCATTCATTTCAGATGCCCATTTTTGGATTGGGTCTTTAAATTCGGGGGCCTGATTTTTTTTCAATTCTTTGTATCTTCTAGATATTGAGGGACTACTGGCTAAACTTTTTTCCCACTCTGTGAGTTGTCTCTTCACTCTGTTGGTGATTTCTTTTTTTCTTTAATTTTATTGGTACATTATAGATATAAAATATAATGACATTCATCATTGGAGATTTGCACCTTTACGTAATCTCTCTTGATTCTTTTTTTCCCCATCCCCCTGCCCTCCCTTCAACCCCTCCAACCCTCCCTGTTTACAAAGACTTTGTTTCCATTTTTTCATTATCTCATATTAATTCCATTCACTTCTTTCCTTTCCCCTACCCCACCCATTTCCCCTTCCCCTTTGCCCCTTTTCTTCCTATTTCACATTATCTATTATGTCTTTTAGTCCTTATTTACACTTTCAGTTTCTCACACCAG